TTACTTTAGACTATAACCAAGGGTAGTTAACGTACCTGTTTCTACGGTAGTTTAAACTTTTACCCAGGGAGTTAACGTGCCCGTTTCTACAGTAGTTTAGACTATTACCGAGGGAGTTAACATGCCTGTTTCTACAGTAGTTAAGACTATTACCGAGGGAGTTAACGTACCTGTTTCTACGGTAGTTAAGACTATTACCGAGGGAGTTAACGTACCTGTTTCTACGGTAGTTTAGACTATAACCAAGGGGAGTTAACGTACCTCTTTCTACATTACTTTAGACTATAACCAAGGGTAGTTAACGTACCTGTTTCTACGGTAGTTTAAACTTTTACCGAGGGAGTTAACGTGCCCGTTTCTACAGTACTTTAGACTATTACCGAGGGAGTTAACATGCCTGTTTCTACAGTAGTTAAGACTATTACCGAGGGAGTTAACGTACCTGTTTCTACGGTAGTTTAGACTATAACCAAGGGGAGTTAACGTACCTCTTTCTACATTACTTTAGACTATAACCAAGGGCAGTTAACGTACCTGTTTCTACGGTAGTTTAGACTATAACCAAGGGTAGTTAACGTACCTGTTTCTACGGTAGTTTAGACTATTACAAAGGGAGTTAACGTACCTGTTTCTACATTAGTTTAGACTATTACCGAGGGAGTTAATGACCTGTTTCTACAGTAGTTTAGACTATTTGGATTCCAATGTTTTGGCTAGTAGCACCGATTAGCTCTAGATAGATGAAACAGTTGTGTGATGCAGCGTAATTAATTGTTGGCTTACTGTATCTATTATTAAAGGTTAAAGGTACACTCACCTGTGTGTGAGATTTTTAACTCACCTGGTCCAAATATGCCGTTCAATGGCGCCCGTCCGGCAACAATTTCTTCGAATGACTACTTCTTCTGAACCCTGATAGGAATTCAATCAGAGACTGGGCGCACCCCTAGAGACTTTGTTCATGTGTGATAACCTGGAAACACTGGAGACCCCTAGCCTAGAACCAGATTTACAAGTCCTTATAGGACAAAATTCCACACAGGTACGTTACGTGTACTAAGAATGGCATTGAGGTCTACCCATCCATGGTTACTTAGTCTCTGTGTCATAAACTGGAAATGGTTGTGATGCAAACCCCTGAAGTAAAGAAATGCTGGGCATGAAGAGACGGACAAAATCATGGAACCAGAATTGGTCTTGTAATTGCCTCCACTCTATGGGACTCTTGGTCATAGCTTGGGAATATTTCCCCACCCTATAACAAAATATGTGCTTACTTAGAGTTACTAAGAGTTAGTTTCCAGTGCAGGACCTCTATTGCTTATGAACCGGTACGGTTTCAATATTAATTGCAGGGATCTTTTTTCGTGATTTTTATAAATGTTTATATTTCTCTATAAGATAGAACTGTTGGAACTGCCAAACTGAACACACACCCACCTCGAGGGATTGCACAGGCTGTCGGCAACTGTTTTTGCTCATATACTGGCGAGTGCGCGTGTACAGCAGCGGATCTTAGTCCAAGGATCACACCAAAACCACGCGACAGCATACTCATCAAATCAACTCAACTTGAAAACGGCGTAAACGCAGACAACACGACTGACCAGGACCATGATGTCACGAATGGGCAGTTATATTACCGACCCAAAGGTAGTACGTCATGTATATCTTCGGACTTCAACATGTACATGTAATTAATTATAGCACGTCCTTTACAATAAACGTTGTATATGTTACCACACACAATAAGTCCGTGGAATTGCGAAACGTGTTTTACATTATGCAATTAGTAATTTCGATGTCACTTCCCCGGTTCTCGGCTTTGAGAACTCTCTTTAGTAGGAATTGACCTAGATTTGCATGGCGGGTGTCATCGATCAAGTAAAAGGAGTTAACTCTTTAGTAACACGGTGTCATATCCTCATTGTATGTAATGGTCTCAAAGAAAATATTCCCTTTGTCTGTATTTTTCCGTAGTTTCATAGTTTTGAGTTTGATTTAAGGTTTTGTGTACACTTAGGTATTCTCTGTTAAGTACTTTTGATAGATGAAAATCTCATGTCACTGGAAATGCCACATATGCATAGTTGTTTTTTGTTCGTTAACACAGACAAGAGTTACGTTAAATATCAACGTATTTAACACTTCGGAGGCTCCTACCCTTTTGGTCTAGAACGAAGACAATGGATTGAAATGTCTCTCGATTTTGAGGGGTTTGGTGATGAGTTGTATCGATTCGTAAATAATATAATATCAATATTATTGTCGCGTGATTTCCCTCCAACAGGAGATGGGGGTGGAACATCTGATGGAGGGTGTGACGACAACTGTAGGACGACAACGGCCGCCACACTGGGCTGTCTTGGTGCTGTCACGTGCATCTTTGTTCTGGGGTGGCGTCTTAGAAAACGCAGATGTCAGAATAGTCAGAACATTAAAAAGCGCGTGGGCAGCCTTGTGTCAGTATCGGCTATACCATCAGACTACCACGATGACCGTGACATACACAGGAACTACCACCCCACTCCCCAGTTCAACAACAAGGGACCCCTCGATTATACACCGGTAAGTAATCAGAATGCTATTGAACTGATTATATTGTTCCGTGAAGAAATCCTTCAATGCTATTGTATACTAAATAGAATAAATGCCACACGGTACATATGATGGAATAAATACGAGAATTATTGTCACACGGTACAAGTGATTGTATAAATACGAGAATTATTGTCACACGGTACAAGCTATTGTATAAATACGAGAATAATTGTCACACGGTACAAGTAATTGTATAAATACGAGAATTATTGTCACGCGGTACAATTGACACCTAGTACATGTGATTGTATAAATACGAGAATAATTTTCACACGGTACAAGTGATTGTATTAATACGGGAATTATTGTCACACGGTACAAGTGATTGTATAAATACGAGAATTATTGTCACACGGTACAAGCGATTGTATAAATACGAGAATAATTGTCACACGGTACAAGTAATTGTATAAATACAAGAATAATTGTCACACGATTCAAGTGATTGTATAAATACGAGAATTATTGTCACACGGTACAAGTGATTGTATAAATACGAGAATTATTGTCACGCGGTACAAGCGATTGTATAAATACGAGAATAATTGTCACACGGTACAAGTAATTGTATAAATACGAGAATAATTGTCACACGGTTCAAGTGATTGTATAAATACGAGAATTATTGTCACACGGTACAAGTGATTGTATAAATACGAGAATAATTGTCACACGGTACAAGTTATTGTATAAATATGAGAAATATTGTCACACGCTACAAGTGATTGTATAAATACGAGAATTATTGTCACACGGTACAAGTGATGGTATAACTACGAGAATAATTGTCACACGGTACAATTGACACCTAGTACATGTGATTGTATAAATACGAGAATAATTGTCACACGGTACATGTGATTGTATAAATACGATAATTATTGTCACACGGTACAGCTGATTGTATAAATACGAGAATTATTGTCACACGGTACAATTGACACCTAGTACATGTGGTTGTATAAATACGAGAATCATTTTCAAACGGAACCATTGACACCTAGTACATGTGGTAGTATAAATACGAGAATAAATGTCACACGGTACAAGTGATGGTATAACTGCGAGAATAATTGTCACACGGAGCATGCTATTGTATAATTCATAAAATAATAGACACCTAGTACAAATGAATGAATAAATACGAGAATAATTGTCCCACGGTACATGCTATTGTATAATTCATAAAATAATAGACACCTAGTACAAATGATTGAATAAATACGAGAATAATTGTCACACGGTACAAGTGATTGTATAAATACGAGAATTATTGTCACACGGTACAAGTGATTGTATAAATACGAGAATAATTGTCACACGGTACATGCTATTGTATAATTCGAGAATAATTGACATTTACTACATGTGATTGTATAAATACGAGAATAATTGTCACACGGTACAAGTGATTGTATAAATACGAGAATTATTGTCACACGGTACAAGTAATTGTATAAATAAGAGAATAATTGTCACACGGTACATGCTATTGTATAATTCATAGAATATTTGACACTTAGTACATGTGATTGTATAAATACGAGAATAATTGTCACACGGTACAAGTGATTGTATAAATACGAGAATTATTGTCACATGGTACAATTAATTGTATAAATACGAGAATAATTGTCACACGGTACATGCTATTGTATAATTCATAGAATAATTGACACCTAGTACATGTGATTGTATAAATACGAGAATAATCGTCACATGGTACATGTTGCTGTTTAGACGCCAGAAGATATGAAGTGGGAGTTTGAGCGAGACAAGCTGACCCTTGACAAGACTCTTGGTGAAGGAGAGTTTGGACGAGTGGTAAAGGCACGGTCTTACAGTTCGGACGGAAAAGATAGCTACAAGGAGGTCGCTGTTAAGATGCTCAAACGTAAGTCACAAATTAAATACTCTTGCTTCCTGTATCGACAATCTAAATTTCAAATAAGTTCTTTATTTTGTATTTCTTGTAATTGTTTTAGTCAATAAGGTGGTTGCCTCTGCTGGTAAACTACACGTTTCTATCAGTCCCCGATGTTGGATGTGTATGTATTAAGAAAGCCTACATCACGTTCGTTGTATTAAACATATGGTTGGAGAACACTTAAGGCTTATATATATATATATATATATATCTTTAGCACCACACAAATGAGTCCTAAATGAATGAAATTGCTAAAACGTGCAGTACAAAGTTTATATTGGCTCTCTGCATCGACAAACTCACTTCCTTACATTGCAATCCGAGTAATTGCTGCACTAAAACGTGTGTTCCATATATTCAGAATAACCACTAATAACTGTTTGTCGTGATAAAACACTCTCAAAAGTTACAATCTAAATCATAACAGTAAATGCAGATATAGCGTTTACGTAAACACTGTACGCTACCAAAAGGGCGACAAATCGGATATGTGAACTTATTGTATACGTAGGTTATTTGATAATTAAATATATGTATAACACAATGCAAATTAGATACATAGAGTAACATGCTTCTTATAAACAGAGAGTCACATAATATTGTTTATAGATTGCGCCTCCTCCTCGGAACTATCGGACTTACTATCTGAATTCAACCTCCTAAAGGATGTCAATCACCCTAACGTCATACGCCTGCTAGGGGCGTGTACAAGGGACGGTAAGTAGTCCGTGATGACCAATATACCATATAACACGGGAACACTATATTGAAACAAGAACCAAATCAGTATAGAANCGTTAGTGGGGAACAACATGTAGTGGGAAATTACTGTAGTGGGGGATACCGTGTCGTGGGGGATACCGTGAAGTGAGCGGAGTACACCATGTAGAGAACAACGTAGTTGGGAATACATCAATGAGAAACACCATGTCGTGGGGAATACATCAGTGAGAAACACCATGTCGTGGGGGATACCGTGAAGTGAGCGGAGTACACCATGTAGAGAACATCGTAGTTGGGAATACATCAGTGAGAAACACCATGTCGTGGGGAATACATCAGTGAGAAACACCATGTCGTGGGGAATACATAAGTGAGAAACACCATGTCGTGGGGAATACATCAGTGAGAAACACCATGTCGTGGGGAATACATCAGTGAGAAACACCATGTCGTGGGGAATACATCAGTGAGAAACACCATGTCGTGGGGAATACATCAGTGAGAAACACCATGTCGTGGGGAATACATCAGTGAGAAACACCATGTCGTGGGGAATACATCAGTGAGAAACACCATGTCGTGGGGAATACATCAGTGAGAAACACCATGTCGTGGGGAATACATCAGTGAGAAACACCATGTCGTGGGGAATACATCAGTGAGAAACACCATGTCGTGGGGAATACNGGGAATACATCAATGAGAAACACCATGTCGTGGGGAATACATCAATGAGAAACACCATGTCGTGGGTAATACATCAGTGAGAAACACCATGTCGTGGGGAATACATCAATGAGAAACACCATGCATGTTGTCGAAAACTTACTATTGTATTTGTGACATTAAAGATCAGTGCAATAAAAAAGAAAAGTGAACAAAAAATCATTTTTGCACTAGGTATATTTATTTGACAATAATGCTATGTCTGTGATTACTGTTTGGTACTTTTAGTGTTAACTATATATAGTAAAAAGAATAGTAGAAATAAATGGTCAAAAATCATTCTCTTCAGTTATCTGTTCTGTTTTATTTGAGTTTGACTACATATTTCGTGTCTTTCAACTTCCACAAAAACTATTTCCAGGTCCATTCTACGTCATAGTGGAGTATTGTGAGTACGGCTCCTTGCTTTGTTTCCTGAGACGGTCACGGTTAGAAGAAAATGGCTATGTCAACCACCGGTACCGGCACAAAGAGTTCTCTCATCACTGTGAGAACGGGGAGTACATGGAACCGGAGTTACTCTCCATAGGCAATCTCTTATCTTTTGCCTGGCAGATAGCTAAGGGGATGAAGTACCTTAGCGAGATCAAGGTTAGAGTGATTTACAGTTTGTGTATAAACATACAAAGAAACATATACACACAAGCAAGTAATTAATATAGCGTAAACAATATAAGGCTGTCAAATTTCGGAGCGGTTAAAAAGATTCAATTTGAAATAAAAGAAAATATAACTGATATTTGAAACGACGAATGATCCAATCGGATGGTAACAGCAAAGGCAGCAATGCTAATGACCGCATAGTCAACATGCTTAGCCTACACAAGCCGCCTCGAATATTCTGTAAAAATACTAGGTTCAAAAAAGTTCAAATATCTTATTTTCGTGTCAAACACATTGTAGTATTCATAAAATCACAATACATATATATCTTTGAATATAAAATGTGTCTAGCCGAAATGACTTATTAGACACGTTATAAGAACAATCACACTATTTACTATCTTCAGAAATGTTTGTAAAAACTGTAGCAGGACTATAATTTGCATATACATGTATATACAATACCATGTACCCCAACAGGGTAAGAGATATACAAGATTGGTCGGGCCTATCCCTACCGACAAATTATATATCCCCCATCCCACACCTGCACATCTAATTATAATACATAATTTAATATAGGAGAAGCATAGTTCTCCTCCTCCTCCACATAACAGAAAGTTGGGTAGCTAGTGTCTTTTGGAGAATGGTTCACACATCACATATCTGAACTGTTCACATGTGTTCGTATCATTGAAAAATTCATATACATTGTTTGCTTTCGTTAAAATTACATATCTAAGATCATCATAAAATAGACATTCCATTAAAAAATTATACTCGTTTTCTACTTCATTGTTGCACAATTTACATAACCTATTATTGACAGGAATCACAGGTCGGGCATGCCTACCTTTTTCAATTTCAAGGGGCAAATAGACACATCTAAAGTTAAATAAAAAAAACTTTCACATTTGAAATGTACAGATTTTACACAATCGCTAGTGACAGGCTCATACTTGTAAGTTCTATATGTACGCAGTTTATTACCATTTACATTGTTTGTGTCATCCCACAGAGACAACTGCCACTTATCATCATCTTCAAAAGTCAGGACATTCTTGATATCTTTCATACATTTGTACGTTGATGTATTTGCGGTTAAAACTTCACTTAAGTTTTTCTCCGCTATCAGACTAACAACCCGAGAGTCCCAGGGTTTTCTAATAGAACATGCCCATTTATGAATTGTCTGCAGTAGTCTGCTATCATCGCAATTCTTTATACGTACATATAGTCTAAAAACTTCAGTTAATTGGTTAACTTCACATGAATTCAAACCCATGTCTCCTTGAAGGGCTACATTACTTGCTTTTCTAGCAGCACCCAGAAAATACCTGCATGCTTTATTTTGAACCATAGCAACTTCTCTATATTTATTCAGACCCCAGATTCCAGTACCATAAAATAGCACTGGTTTCAATAGGGATACATACAGCTTACAGTAAACTTCATAACACATTTCTCCAGCATGTACATACTTGGAATAAAGAGCATACAATGCTCTACTTGCAGATGTAAATTTAAGTGTTCGTGAAACCATAAACCAAGATGTTTGTTACTCTGGATTTTTTCTATATGTATAGCACCACATGTAAAATTAAAATTTGTTAGAGGTACAGATGGATTGCGAAAATGCACAACTTTTGTTTTTTTCTTGATTTATGCCTAATTTCCACTTTTTACACCAACTATCAAGCTTGTCTAACATATGTTGCATCGACTCCTAATCTGGTGCGATAAGTGCTATATTATCCGCATACAGAAGTATGGATACCTGGGCATCATCGACCTTGACACCTTTACTTAGTGATTAGGCATACCAAACCCTCTCAAACATACAATACAAATATTAGGCCTACCAACCCTTCTCCAACATACAGTAAAAAAAAACAGGCATATAAAACCCTCTCCAACATACAATAAAAAAATCAGGCATACAAAACCCTCTCCAACATACAATAAAAAATCAGGCATGNTCAGGTATACAAAACCCTCTCAAACATATAATAAAAAATCAGGCATACAAAACCTTCTCAAACATACAATAAAAAATCAGGCATACAAAAAACCCTCTCCAACATACAATAAAAAAATCAGGCATACAAAACCCTCTCAAACATAGAATAAAAAAATCAGGCATACAAAACCCTCTCCAACATACAATAAAAAAATCAGGTATACAAAACCCTCTCAAACATATAATAAAAAATCAGGCATACAAAACCTTCTCAAACATACAATAAAAAATCAGGCATACAAAAAACCCTCTCCAACATACAATAAAAAAATCAGGCATACAAAACCCTCTCAAACATAGAATAAAAAAATCAGGCATACAAAACCCTCTCCAACATACAATAAAAAAATCAGGTATACAAAACCCTCTCAAACATATAATAAAAAATCAGGCATACAAAACCTTCTCAAACATACAATAAAAAATCAGGCATACAAAAAACCCTCTCCAACATACAATAAAAAAATCAGACATGCAAAACTCTCTCCAACATACAATGAAAAATCAGGCATACAAAACCTTCTCAAACATACAATAAAAAATCAGGCATACAAAACCTTCTCAAACATACAATAAAAAATCAGGCATACCAAACCCTCTCCAACATACAATAAAAACAATCAGACATACAAAACCCTCTCAAACATACAATAAAAAATCAGGCATATTAAACCCTTTCCAACATACAATAAAAAAAAATCAGGCATATAATACCTTCTCCAACATACAATGAAAAATCAGGCATACCAAACCCTCTCCAACATACAATAAAAAATAAGGCATATAAAACCCTCTCCAACATACAATAAAAAATCAGGCATACAAAACCCTCTCCGAAATTTTATAACAGGTCAGGCATACAAACCTCCGACAATATATAACAAGTCAGGCATACAAACCCCTGACAATATATAACAAGTCAGGCACACAAACCTTCGACAATATATAACAAGTCAGGCATACAAACCTCCGATAATATATAACAGGTCAGGCATACAAACCTCCGACAATATATAACAAGTCAGGCATACAAACCCCTGACAATATATAACAAATCAGGCACACAAACCTCCGACAATATATAACAAGTCAGGCATACAAACCTCCGACAATATATAACAAGTCAGGCATACAAACCTCCGACAATATATAACAAGTCAGGCATACCAACCTCCGACAATATATATCAAGTCAGGCAATTAAACTCTCCCAACATTTATGAACAGGTCAGACATACAACATTTTATAACAGGTCAGACATACAACATTTTATAACAGGTCAGCCTTACAAAACCGTCTCCAAAATTTTCTAAAATAGATCAGGCCTCCATAAGCATACTGATATTCATCTGATACAAACTCTATACGACATTCTTTATAGCAAGAATTAAGTCTAAACAAACCCAGCCTTCCTCCATGTTCTACCTGACGTAGAAGTGGGACATGCCAGTGTCCGCGGTATGCCTACTTACCCTGCCCTCATTGTACCACATAGGGTCTCTATCTTTTTCTCTCACTCTTCTGTTCTTTCTATTTCGTCGGTGTCTCCCTAGGCACCCGTCTTCAAATGACCCCAAACAAACAAACAAAATGGTCTCGTCAGAGGCAGACTGATTTACCGTCAGAGGCTGATTTACCGTCAGAGGCAGACTGATTTCCACTCGTCACTGTGAAGAAATGAGTTTGTGTGAATACTAGCTATTTATATAAAAAACATAAATTAAACTGTTGCGTGTGGATGAAATTACCACCAATTTCGTTTGTTTTAGTTGGTACACAGAGATTTAGCTGCAAGAAATGTCTTGGTTGCTGCCGGCAAGGTTTTGAAAATATCCGATTTTGGATTAACCAGAGATGTTTATGAGGCGGACACATACCTCAAACAAAGCAAGGTAACATGTCCTGAAATACGTTATCTGTATGTTGGAGTGATTAAACTGAGTTGGATTTAGTATGTAGATAGTCTAGTTAAGAAAAAGAAATGTTTTCAAATTAACAAGAGATTATGTATGATCAATGCAGTATTGGAGATGACAAAGTTGAACATTGAAATATTATAAAGTCATACCTTATTTTTAAAGAAGAAAATATTAGAAAATAAAAAATACAAAGAAAGTTTTATCGCAAGAAGGAATTTAACTTACCTTTACCACTTATCTTTTAATTAGTACAGGTAAATGTCGGATATCTTTTAATTAATTAGTACAGGTAAATGTCAGATATCTTTTAATTAGTACATGTGAATGCCAGATATCTTTTAATTAATTAGTACAGGTAAATGTCAGATATCTTTTAATTAGTACCGGTAAATGTCAGATATCTTTTAATTAATTAGTACAGGTAAATGTCAGATACCTTTTAACTAGTACAGGTAAATGCCAGATATCTTTTAATTAATTAGTACAGGTAAATGCCAGATATCTTTTAATTAATTAGTACAGTTAAATGCCAGATATCTTTTAATTAATTAGTACAGGTCAATGTCAGATATCTTTTAATTAATTATTACAGGGAAATGCCAGATATCTTTTAATTAATTAGTACAGGGAAATGTCAGATATCTTTTCATTAGTACAGGTAAATGTCAGATATCTTTAAAAAGAAATAAAGTATGACTTTATTTCTTGGCTAGTCAAACATTTACTTGTACTAACCCATTAATTAGCGCGAGATTATTGTTATTGTTTCTGTAACTCATTTAAGCCAGGAATATTCATCAAGGTATATGTTTCAATATGTCTATTCTGTAATTTGCAGGGCCGTATACCAGTGAAATGGTTAGCACCGGAATCTCTGTACGCACAGGTTTATACAACTCAGAGTGATGTGTAAGTATCCAGCCTAGGTTTATACAACTCAGAGTGATGTGTAAGTATCCACCCTAGGTTTATACAACTCAGAGTGTTGGGTAAGTATCCAGCCTAGGTTTATACAACTCAGAGTGATGTGTAAGTATCCAGGCTAGATTCTACAACTAAGAGTGATGTGTAAGTATCAAGCCTAGGTTTATACAACTCAGAGTGTTGTGTAAGTATCCAGCCTAGGTTTATACACCTCAGAGTGATGTGTAAGTATCCAGGCTAGATTCTACAACTCAGAGTGATGTGTAAGTATCCAGCCTAGGTTTATACAACTCAGAGTGCCGTGTAAGTATCCATCCTAGGTTTATACAACTCAGAGTGATGTGTAAGTATCCAGCCTAAATTATACAACTCAGAGTGATTTGTAAGTATCCAGTCTATGTTTATACAACTCAGAGTAATGTGTAAGTATCCAGCCTAGGTTTATACAACTCAGAGTGATGTGTAAGTATCCACTCCATGTTTATACAACTCGGAGTGATTTGTAAGTATCCAGTCTATGTTTATACAACTCAGAGTAATGTGTAAGTATCTAGCCTAGGTTTATACAACTCAGAGTGATGTGTAAGTATCCAGCCTAGGTTTATACAACTCAGAGTGATGTGTAAGTATCAAGTCTATGTTTATACAACTCAGAGTGATGTGTAAGTATCCAGCCTAGGTTTATATAACTGAAAGTGATGTGTAAGTATCCAGCCTAGGTTTATACAACTCAGAGTGATGTGTAAGTATCCAGCCTAGGTTTATACAACTCAGAGTGATGTGTAAGTATCCAGCCTAGGTTTATACAACTCAGAGTGATGTGTAAGTATCCAGCCTAGGTTTATACAACTCAGAGTGATGTGTAAGTATCCAGCCTAGGTTTATACAACTCAGAGTGATGTGTAAGTATCCAGCCTAGGTTTATACAACTCAGAGTGATGTGTAAGTATCCAGCCTAGGTTTATACAACTCAGAGTGATGTGTAAGTATCCAGCCTAGGTTTATACAACTCAGAGTGATGTGTAAGTATCCAGCCTAGGTTTATACAACTCAGAGTGATGTGTAAGTATCCAGCCTAGGTTTATACAACTCAGAGTGATGTGTAAGTATCCAGCCTAGGTTTATACAACTCAGAGTGATGTGTAAGTATCCAGCCTAGGTTTATACAACTCAGAGTGATGTGTAAGTATCCAGCCTAGGTTTATACAACTCAGAGTGATGTGTAAGTATCCAGCCTAGGTTTATACAACTCAGAGTGATGTGTAAGTATCCAGCCTAGGTTTATACAACTCAGAGTGATGTGTAAGTATCCAGCCTAGGTTTATACAACTCAGAGTGATGTGTAAGTATCCAGCCTAGGTTTATACAACTCAGATTGACGTGTAAGTATCAAACCCAGGTGTATACAACTCAGAGTGATGTGTTAGTATCCAGCCTAGGTTTATACAACTCAGAGTGATGTGTAAGTATCCAGCCTAGGTTTATACAACTCAGAGTGATGTGTAAGTATCCAGCCAAGGTTTATACAACTCAGAGTGATGTGTAAGTATCCAGCCTAGGTTTATACAACTCAGAGTGATGTGTAAGTATCCAGCCTAGGTTTATGCAACTCAGAGTGATGTGTAAGTATCCAGCCGAAGTTTATACAACTCAAAGTGATGTGTAAGTATCCAGCCGAGGTTTATACAATTCAGAGGCATGTGTGAGTATCCAGCCTAGGTTTATACAACTCAGAGTGATGTGTAAGTATCCAGCCTAGGTTTATACAACTCAGATTGACGTGTAAGTATCCAGCCTAGGTTTATGCAACTCAGAGGCATGTGTAAGTATCCAGCCTAGGTTTATACAACTCAGAGTGATGGGTAAGTATCCAGCCTAGGTTTATACAACTCAGAGTGATGTGTAAGTATCCAGCCTATGTTTATACAACTCAGATTGACGTGTAAGTATCCAGCCTAGGTTTATACAACTCAACTTCTTGTGTGCATATCTCAACATAAATAGTCTGCGACACAAATTTGATCAGGTACATGAACTACTAGCAAACTATACAGTTGATCTCCTATTCTTATCGGAAACCAAAATAGACGATAGCTTTCCTGATGCACAATTTAGCGTAAATAACTACCACCTGTGGAGAGCCGATAGAAATTTTCATGGCGGCGGAATTGCAGCATATCTACGTTCGGACTTACCAGGACACCGGGTAAAATACATAGATTTTCAGGACATAGAATCAACTTCAGTTGAACTATCATTAAATAATTTGAAATGGTTAATTCAAGGAGTATATAGACCTCCTAGCATGAAAGAAAACACATTCACAGAAGACTTTTGTAAGACTTTTGACCGCTGTACCATGAAATATGACAATCTGTTGGTTATAGGTGACATCAACTATGATTTGTTATCTGATAAAGGAAACCCATTACAAAATGTATGTGATATTTTTGACTTATCAAATCTTGTGAAAGCCCCAACCTGTCATCCTAAAAACACAGAACCTAGCCTTATCGATGTAATTTTGACAAACAAACCAAATCTAACAGGTAAAATTTGTAACTTTGATACAGGAGTCAGCGATGTACATAATATTATTGCAGTTCAACTACGGAGTAAGATCACTGTGAGAAAACAGGAATGGATGTCGTACAGAAGTTTTAAACATTTTAATATCGAAAATTTTCATAACGACCTATATAATGCAAAACTTGACGACATAGCCAAACACGAAAACATAAACACAGCTTACAACCAATTCAGCAACACACTAACACGCATAATAGACAAGCACGCACCAATGAAAAAGAGAAAACCACGAATAAATCAAGCACCCTTCATGAACA